GGCGGGAAGAAATGGCTGCCTCGCTTTCCCCCCAAAGGGGAGTGACATCACCTTGGGACCTCACAGCGTATTTACTTAAAACATGAGGACGAATATCTGCAGATAAAATGAATACAGAAAAGTATTATCCATTTCGGTTCCTCACCCAGAACACAAGCCGCCCCGCCTCCATCTGTCCGCAGATTGAACGCTCAGGCTCTGCCTGACGCAGCCCCCAAGCAGAGCAATGCTGGGCCCGTCCGTGGCTTCGCCTGGGCGACCGGAAGCCTTACTCTCCGAAACGGAGTGGAATAGAGAACACCTGCCGCTCACAAAGCAAACAAACCCCCGAGAGCAGCTGGGAGCAGCAGTGACCTGTACACGTGAAGCAAACTGAGTCTGTATCCAATGTCGTCAATAGGTTCTCAAACAGGCACAACGACTTATAACGAGACCAATGTCACCAGAGGCTGGCTGACCGCAGCTCCAGCGAAGTCCCTGGCACCTCATCAGTGTTATAACAAAACGACATTGAGCCCGGCCGGCGGGGCTCAGGGGCTGAGCGTTGATCTATGAACCAGGAGGTCAGGGTGCGATTCCCGGTCAGGGCACAGGCCCAGGTTGGGGCTCGATCCCCAGTGGGGGGCGTGCAGGAGGCAGCCGGTCCATGATTCTCTCATCATGGATGTTTCTCTCTCTCTTCCGTCCTCTCTGAAGTCAGTAAAAAATATATTTAAAACAAAACTCTCCCGTCCTCCCTCGGTGCCGACACAGGAGGGGCCTGACTACCTACGTGCAGCGGGGCCCGAGGCGGCCACAGGCACCTGGCCCTGCCCCTTCCCCTATGACGCCGCCTCAATGCCCCTTAAAACACACACCCCACCTGCCTCTCACAGACCTGCCTTCAGTGCTGGGGCGGCTCACACGCTTTTATTAGGGAGACCGGCCAGAGGGCTAAACTACGTCACCTCCTTCCCACAGCGCGGCAGCGGGGGCTGCGTGTTCACAGGAGTCGTGACACACGCTGCTCACATGCTCCGAGCTTTAACGACTCCACGTAACAAAACCTATTTAGAATTTAAGCTTCGCTCCCTCCCTGATTCCCGGGGCACGTTGGCGCCTCCCTCGACAGGTGAGCTGTCACAGCGCAGGTGTGCGCGGCCGCTGAGCTAACTCAGCTCCCAGGCGTGAGGGAGAGCGGGTCCCACACGGCAGAGGCCCGCCCGGGACGCTGACCAACACGGG